TTGTAATGGATTCCTAAAATGGTTGCTGTAACACGCAGGCGTTAATGTCATGCCCATAAGCCATCTGAGGTGGTGTGCAGGTATTTAGAAATCAGCTGTGCCTGCTTTGATTCCACATGTTCCTCAGAGTTGTAGAGAGAGCAAAACCACAACAGTGCCCAGGGCAGTATCCTACCCAGGGAACATTGTAGAGCAGACAGCAACTTCAGAGGCTAAATGAAAGCAAAATTAAACAGCATTCTGAATTGGAAGGGCACGAAAAACCTCCTATTGCTGTCAGTAAGGGAGAAAATGGGGCAAAACAAGATGAAAATGTCTTGTCTGGAGAAAACGTACCACTTTTATAGACAAAGTCAGAGAGAGAATTATAACTCTAATGTATTATAGCTCACTCAAAAACTGGAATACCTCTACCAAGAACATATTTAGGTAAAGGCATCAGTCCTGAGGGGAAGAAGAGCATTCCCAAGTATAACAGCAGATGAAGGCGCTGACTGGCTGCATTGCCCAAGCAGCGAACAACCCATCTGCTGAGATTCTGCAGAAAGCATCTACCCTCACAACCACCAAGGACGGCAGAAACTGTTGCAGACAGATGAAAAAAAGAAAATGAAACAATTCCTGCCTATTTGGCTGGAATATGAACAATTCACAGAACACAGCCAATCTGGAGAGAATTTAAATAATGCATAAGGGACCCGTTAGTATTTGTAGGCAAAATGAAGGAATCAGAAGAATGGTTATAGACTGAGGCTGAATGGATCTTAAAACACACATGGCAAACAGCAGTTTCATTGCAGACTCCTACTAAAGCAGCCAGTGAGTTGCGATTGCAGTGCGATACCTGCACAGGAGGGACAGAGGGTTCAAACAGAAAACACAGCTCCCACTGCTGGGGTGTTTTTACTGTGGGAAACAGCCTCAAACTGCTAATAGTTATTAGTCCTATGGCAAAGCCTGTAGAAATGGCAGGAGACTGAAGTTACAGCAACCTGTAGGCAACTGCAGAAAGTTCAACACCGCTTTACGATGGCAACAAAAAGGATTTTCCAACTCTCCAGGTGAGTATTCGCGGGTTAATAGTATAGAATCTCTAAACTGTTTAATTTGGAGGAAATTAGTGAAGTATTATTTTACTCCCTTTCTTTATAAGGGGAAGGAATAGGACTGAAAATGGAGTTACAGAGTCATTTCACAACAGAATTATCACGGACTACTTAAAAAGGTGAATTTGAGGAAAACCTCAAGACTTTTAAAGACCCTTATTGTAGAACTGCTGATTTCCCTGGGTGGTAGTAGTGAGAAAATAACTTAAAATGACAAGTAATACATGCTACTCCTCTCAGCCATGTGGTGATAGGGTCACGCTGCACTCGGTGGAAAATGGCTGGGAGACATTTGGCAGCGCTGACAAAGCATGAAGTGTCTGCAGGCTACACAATATTATAACTCCAACCCAAAGCAGAAACAAACTAACCTCCTGTATGAGGCAGTGGAGGTATTTCAGGATGGCAGTAAAAGGCAGGAAAGCAGAAATTTTGCTTCAGAGGAGAGCGATCCCTGTATTTTGCAGAGCACAGAAAGTCCCTGTGGAGCCTGTGATCTGGAAACTGTTCCAGCTGCTGCTGAAGCCAGAAGAGAGATTACACACCCCAGCTGATTATCACTCCCTCTTTACCTCTCTCCCATTCCCCCTCTTCCCTCCCCACCGTTCTGCCTTTTCCATTGCTCTCTGCTTAATCCAGTTCTGTAAAACGAGCCAGTTAGGGAAAATTAAAAAACAATCCTACCATTAATAAAGCAAAGAGCAGCACCTCTCTAAAGAAGGAAGGATGGGAAGGCAGGTGATTAAGCAGTATGTAAACACAATCCACCGCCTTATCCAATTGTATCCATGGCCACCTATTGCACCACCTACCAGTAACTAAGAATGATTGGATTATTTTGCAGAACGAGGCTGGGGACAGCCAAATATTTGTCAGACAGCTCAGCCATTAGAACTAAGAGGTGGCATTTGCTCGTAGCTGGGACAGGGTGGATGACAAATAGGCACATCATCCAAAATATCTGACCATCACCAGCAGCGCACAAAAGCGGGTACTGTCCTTCCAAATTAGCTGTAGTGAATGGATCACCTTGCTCACAGCCGTAAGGGAACAGAATAGGACTGTGTATGTCTAAAGTGATTGCAGGGTTGCTCAGTGTTGCCATACAGAGTCCACCTAGGATAAAAGAGATGTTGGTCTTACTGCCTGGCGTCCAGCACTTCTGCAGGGTCAGCATTGTTCAAAATTGTCGTCAGGTGGGACTAGAGAAAGTGATGAGGACTGTGTTTACAGAAGCAAGGATTGATTTCTGCATAATCAGGTAGGTTTGTTCATTGCTATGCCACCAGGTATCAGTGGTACATTTCAGGAGTAAAACTCTGCAAGGGTGAGATCCCCTATTTCTCTATTCCTTTGCTTTTCTTTTTGCTTTTGTCACAACAATTTAAAACCTCACTTGTAAATCCAGTTTGAATATGTGGCAGGCAGAGGCACATGCAACCAACTTCACAGTGTCTCATGGCCCAGTCTTTTCACTAACTTGCTCAGAGATGCTGTTCCTACCCCCTCAGGCAGAGGAGAGTCTGCCCTGAACGCTGGTAGATACTGGCTCCTACTAAACTGACAGCCAAGCTCAGCAGTCTCTGCTGAAGGATATCATACCATCTATTATTCTTAATGCAGGGCTGAATTCAAGTCTGTTTTTACTTAAACCCAAGATGACTAAGTGTTTACTAAAGCCAGCTGTTGTTCACAGGATAGCTTGATAATTTTATGATGGTTCTTTACTAATAAATCAAACACACAGAGAGGAAGGTAATGACAAGCTAACATATGTATGCTATCTCATAAAACAAACAAAATATTAACAATGTAATAACATAACCAGCGTGATTCCAGACATGCTCGTGCTGCCTTTCCTAAGCCCTCATGCTAGACAAGCTCCTACCAAGTCCACTCAACGTCACCAAGAGTCTGCCTAAACAAAAATGAATCAGTGAGGGGATTACAAATGGAGCTGCTGTTGGAAAAAGACAGAGACTCCGCTCGCCCCTCTCCTCTTTGGGTCTTTGTCAGTAGGCTGCCTCTGTTTCCATCATGTTCAAGCCCCCTACCCTCCACTTCCAGGCCCTTCATTGCTCTGAATTCTCCACTGGGCACCTGCGTCTCTGCCATCCTGGCTCCCCTCTGGCCTGCCGGGAGCACGACCTCCTCCTCTGACCTGCCCTTCCACTACACCCACCGGCTCCCACAAACTCACCAGCAAAGCCTGCACGGTCCTCTCCTTTCTCTTACCCTGCATTGCTAGCACAGAGAGCCTCGCACCTACTCGGGCCTCCAGGAGCTGCCAGTTCATTAACATCCCAGGCCTGATTCAGTTTATATTCATAAATAGTTTAGATGAATATGTAATTTCACTGAGACAGGTAGAGCTCTACCACAAACTGCAGTGATCGCAGCATTACAGAGATGGCCTGTGGGTCTCACTACGATGGGGCTTTTACAACAGATGTTTTCATTGATGTTTTGAAAAGTAAAAGAAGCCCTAAACTCAGATGCTCAAAATAAGCAACCTTTTCTCATCGAAGTAATGGTACAAAAGAAGAAAACTTCTCTTTTGTTAAAACTCCTTTATTGAAACCAGTCCAACCTGATGTTCAAGAAGGGCCTGTAAATACCACTTTTGTTGTCAGTCTCCTTTGGCAGGGGAGCAACGTTTCCCTTCAGTTAATGATGCTCTGGAAACAGGGCTGCACATTTTATATCCTTACATAGTGGCAGATCAGCCAGTCCAGCTGACAGAGCTTTACAAGATGCTCCTCTGCTGCTACTCAGCACTGACTGCTATTTTTATAGTTTCCTATGATGGCTCAAATGCTTCTTTGTCTACCTGAGAAGAGGGGCTGCCTAAGAGTAACCAAGCTGAAAAGCACCTGGTTTGCTGACCAGACCAGTCTGAGTAATATTGGGTGCTTCTTTTTTCAAGGAATGCCATTTCCAATAATATCTTCACATGATGTTTTTCCTGCTCAAAAACTTCAGAAAAACAAACTCAAGAGTTACTCTTTAAATGTATCAAAAAGTAAAGCCTGTATGTGACTTTTTTGGAGAAAAAAAAAGCAGAAAAGAATACGAAAGGTAACCTTTTTGGTTCACTGTAGGTTAACTAAATATCAACACACTTTGTCAGAAGAAATTCCTTAATTTTCTAATGCTACTGGGCTTCTTTACCAAACAAAGAATAGTTAAACTACCTTACAAGAGCCTATTATAATCAATCGAGCCTTTCAAGAGATTTTTGTGGTCTTTTAATCTGACCTGTAAAGAACAGGACAAAATTCCTGTTACGGTGATACAGGCGTTTTTTCCCCCGAGGAAGTTTACACAAGCCACAGCTCCAGTTACGGTAACCCTACCTCAGATCCCCGTTTAGAAGTCCCCCCCTCCCCACCAATGTCAGCAGAAATACCAGATCAGAACAGCACACTTAAGTTGTTCTTTGAAATAAAGGACATACGTAGGTACATGCCCTGACCCAAGAAGGATTTTTACCAGTTTCACTAAGCTCTAGACCCCATTGCATACAACATGACTGCTGCAACTTGATTCCCCCAGATAATTATAAATCCAGAGGAGATCATAGTAAAACGTATGGCCAGGACCCAAGCCTCCTGAAGTCTGTGTCAATCTTTGTCACCCATGTCAGTGACCCCTAGTTATGTTTTACAACTGTAAAGAAATCATTAGAAAAAAAATTATGGTATTTATCACTCAGTAGATTTTCTATATCCTTTGCATTGAAACTTGCTCAGTTTGTTCTAATACTTTTCATTTTTAGAGCATATTCGTTGTTCTTTCTTAAATGTTAACGAAATGAAAAAGCTAAGCATATAGCAGAACATACCCGTAGCTTGCAATGATTCCTGACAAGACGAAACACAAACCTGGGCTCACCTTTTCACTTTTCTTCCTGAGCAGGGCATCAGCTGTTGTCTCTGAGAAAATGTGCATCCTAAAAAGATGTCCAGCTTCTTTTGTATAATCACCTGCCTTGCAAAGTTTACGTTTTTGAACATGGTGTTTTACACTTGAATTATGAATTACTAATGTTTTAACCATCTCAACCAGAGGCCCTACAAACTTCTGTAGTCCAGAAACACTTTGTTCCAGTCCATCCAGTCTTTTAACCTGCCGCTCTGCATTCCTGTTTATATCAGAAAGAGATTTTTCCATTCTAAGGCAAAGCCTCTTCATTTCATTACTTCTCAGACTTTTGTTTCTTTCCATCCTTGATCCAGGTTCAGATGTTTCCGCCTTTGCAATCTCAATGTCTTTTTCAATGCAACAGATGTCTTGGGAAACACTGTTAAGCTTCTTAAGGACATTGTCTTGCAGAGTCAACAGCTTGTCTATTTTCTGTTCAAGGGAGGCAAACTTCATATCCATGATGTTAAAACTTTCAGATGTGCTGACATCACTGCTTGCAACATGAAGAATTTGGGGGGGGTCCATTCCGTTATCAGGCCTTTGGTTTTGCAAAGCATTTGGATCGAATATTTTGGCCAAGTTGTTGACCATAGATGTAGAAGAGCTCTGCCTGCTGGATGTGGTCATTTTGCTGGGTTGGGTAGGGGAAGGAAACGCTCTGATGATCAGCTGCTCGAGGACAATATCAGTTGCAAAGGCTTCCCATCCAGACTGCTCAGATATACAGCCAAGTTTGGCAACTCCAGCTCAACTAATTTATGAACTACTCTCATATATTGACTAGAACAGAGGAAAGAGACACCCAAATTATTTAGGAAGAAAAATGCCTTTGATCCATTCTTTTTTTTTAATATATATATATGTATCTGTTTCCAAATGAAGTGAATCTAGAGATGCGCATCCTAAATGCACTCGGTTCAGTGACATCAGCCCTAGCAGGGACTGAACTATTTGCACTCCAATGGAATTTGACAGCAAAAAGGCTATGCGATACGTGAGACGTCTCTAAGGGTAGAGACACTTTGGCAGTGGTGTTGTTGCTTTTCAAAAGCCTAGTATGTAATGTGATCGCTGCTCTGAAGAGAATAAGGGTCCTTACAGGGACCTTAAATGTGGCTGCTTGAAATTACTATGTCTTAAGGAGAGCTTTTCAGATTAAAACCTCTATTGCTTGAAAAGCCTGTTATGCTAGGCAGGAAGTCAATAGAGTTATTAAAAAACAATACATTAAAGAAAGTAAAAGAAGGAGGAGACACTGGAATGCAGATACTTGAAAAAATCAGAGCTCCTTTCTCTACCCTATATTTCAGCTACCACATAGCCAGCTCTTTACACACAAGCAATTTTCTTTATAGCTGATATCTTAATTTACTTCTGTATTTATCGAGACTGTACTGATTTGCCACAAATTAAGAGGCTCTTATGTTTTACTACGATCTGGTCATACAAATTCCAAAATACAAAGTTTGATAGAGAGACTCAGTTCTTTGCTTTATTTGTCTGCCAGTAAAAGTCTCAAAACCAGTGATTAATATTCATAACTCAAACAGTTTGTTTAAGTTTTGCTTTTGCAAAAGGCCTTCATTTCTTTCAGAAAGACAACATTGGACAAAGAGGAAACGTCATGACTGGGAACAGGATTCCCCTAGGTGTAGGTCTGATTTATTGAACATTTTTCATGTTGGTTAGAAAAATAAAAACAGAATCAAAAAGAAAGAATAAAACCAGAACTTCTCATCTCAAGCCAACGATATTCCACATGAGCAAGACGCAAATCAGTATGGATCACCTTGATGGAAAAAGGCTGCCTCTGAAATACAAAGAAAAGGATACCTTGGACAAATGACTGTCATAGATTGACCACACATAGGTCAGTCTGCACTTGTGCTGTACCTCTTACAGAAATCAACAGATAAAGTCAGCCAGCTGGTTGTAAAACAGCCAGACTGCTGCTCTACTCAAAGGATCAAGAGCTTCTTTTGTGATCCCAGTGAATTATTTCTTTTGCCAACCTCAGTTTCTCCATCTTTTAAATGGGGAGTGTGAGGGATAATTAGGTAAAGTACGTAGTGATTTCTGCATATCTAACACACTAAATAGCCTTTCAAAATTGCATCTGTTCACTAAATGAAGAATATGAAAGGTCTTCTCTTTATTTTTAGGTGCCAAAGATGTTTTTTAGAGTCAATCACAGCTGAAGTTTTCAAAAGTTTCCAAAGGCATTCTCCCACAGTCATTTATGAATCAACACATAGTCGGTGTTGATAAGCTAATTCAGGAGCTTGTTCTCCAGTTACCACAGGTTAATAACGGAAAAAAGTTCCTAGGTACATTTGTCACCTTCTGAGAGCAGCGTGTTACTGTGAGTGAAAGGTGAACTGTGTCCATGCATGACCGTAAAACATGGACTGAAATCTCTTCTTTACATAACAGACAGTACCAAGAGGTGACCACCATGTGTTATTGTGCATAGCATATTCACTGAGCAGATTGAGAAGGTTAAATGATTTTAAAATAGGAAACAGGATAGGAAAAAAAAAAAGACAAGGAGTTTAGGGATCCCTATTTCATGGAAAGAATAATATACAGGACAGCAGTTAAAAAAAAGAAAAGAATACCGAAGCAAAGAACATCACATCACATCAGTTCCAGCAGAGAGCAGTTATATTTGAACCCCTTTGCCTTCTTCCGTTCATCTCTGTTAGAAACATAAACTAAACCCTCCTGACAGTTTCACATCTGCAGAAGCCCCTGTTAGGCACAAACTTCCAGGAGAGGTGTTTGCATGTCTGTAAAATGGCCAGGTTTGAAGAGCCATTTATCTTGGATGAAAGATCCCTGCAGGAGTTCATGGTGAGCTTCCCCCCTGTCCCCCCACCCACTGCACAAAAAAAAGGTTAAAGGTTTATTAGACCTTGCCACCCATCCAGCTAGGACTCCTGCTCTGGGGGATTTCATAGGCAAAGCCTGTCAGCCACCAGGATCCTCTCCAAAAGGAACATTATTTTGTAAAAGCAAGGAAATGATAAAAAAAAAAAAGGACATACAGATAGTAATGGTAAAATCATGTGTTATATTAGCGCGCACAGCCACATATGTTAAACATTTAAATCTGTCCTAACAGTTGCCCAGGGAAACGTTATGTGAAATACCTCAAACCAATACTATAAACACTAATAAAAATTTTAAGCTCTGTGAGGTAAGATCCTATTATCAAGTATCATCTGTGAAGTCCTATTGATTTAATATTATGCCATGACATACAAAAATGCCACACACTTTCAAAATGTAGAAAGCAAACTATAAAAAAATTTCATTAAAACCTCTTCAGTATGTGTTAGTAGTTCTGTCTGAAGCTGAAGTGAACTGGAAGAGAGAACTGCTGTGTAGTGGCTAGAAAGAGGAATAAATGAAAAAAAACTAAACTCGGCTTGCTTTCCGGGCTCAGAAAGCTCTTGCCAGTAACTTCTTCGCAGCTGGGAATCTGTGATCCCTGCCTCTTGCTCTGTAAACTGGAAATAATCTTACATATTCAGATACCTTTCAAGAGTTCAGTGAGAATGAATTACTTAAGGGAAAGACTTCTGTGAAAAATAGTATTCTTTAAAGTATTTGAACATTGCTTTCTTTGTGGGGTGGATTATTACCACAGCTACTTTATGAAATTCAGTAATATTCTATGTAAATAATTTGAGATATTTTTAATAGCCAAATACCTGAATGCACTTTTCCTAGTCACTCTTAGCAACTGTACCTATCAATCATTAACACACAAAATAAGCCCATATAACAGCTTTCTTATTTTCATCTCACAAACTTTAGTGATGAATGGTCATTGGATTTGCCCAGCACCAAAACTGCTAAAAAGTCTGTTGGAGATTAAGGGTATGAGCTACAGCAGTGGTTACCCTTCATGAATTGAAAATAAAGAAACGCAAATGACCAAAATACTGTAGAAAGAAAACAATTCCACTAGTTTTGAAGATGACACAATTCCCCATATGCCTAACTTTGCCTAATACTGCGTTTCAGAATATTACACTAGGTCACTGCACCATGGCGATGACAGTATCAGCCCAAAGGCTGATACTGAACCCTGGGAATTTTTGCACACAGGTGTAACAAACACCTGCACTATATAATATAGTGCTAATCAACTGTGAAAATGGATGGTATTTAATAATCTGCCAAGAGTTTTATTTCTTCCATACAATTGCTGCCCCACTGATGTTGAATCCTTTTAAGTGGCTTTTATATAAAAAATTAACCCGTATTTCTTTTTTATTTCAAGTTCAGTTGAAAAAGGCCCTAAAAGAGCATTGTGTACTTTTCAAAGTATAGAGGCATCTAAAATTTGGAAGAAATAGCAACAAAGTAGCAATGGATAAGTTGCTGCTACTGTGACTTCCACATTTTAACATGTCTGCATGATACATGATACAATGAGCCTGGAAGAGATGTGATAAAACTCTGTACTTTGTATAGACATAGATAAAGGGGCTAAAGGTGAAGATTGGACAGACTACAGAAGTAAAGTCTTCCTTTTGATTTCTCTCTTGAACTCAAACTGCGGTCAGTGTTATTTTCTCTGCACACACAAATATGGAAAGCTGGCTAGCATTAGGAAATTATCACAGACAAGTCTGTTTGCTACCCCAGCTCTGTTAGCTGTCTGCTTCTGAACAGCGAGCCTCCGGTTCAGAGACACCTGGACCAAGCTTTTAGCATGTTCCGACCCAAAGCCTGTGAAGGACAGGAGGACCTCAAGTTCCACAGCATTTGGATGTCAGTCTCATAGGTATTAGAGAAAAACATCTTTAAAAAAAATTATCATAGCCCAAAACATCCAAACAGTCTCTAATCAGTAAAAAGAAGTAATACTTGCTGGTTTTAATTTCACATGACAACTTATCAGTGCAAAGAAAGCCTGCTTTCTGTTTAAAAAAGTTGTTCACATAGTTTTCAGCAACTCTTGGTCCTCTGATTGTACTGCTGAGTTGTTAATTAACTACCCTGCCTTACCTTATCTTCTTCTATTGGACCCACGTTAAAAGGAGGTTTCCTCCCCCTCCCCGCTTTTTTAGCCTGAGTCTTTTCTATTTAGTTCAGTTCAGTTCTTCATATTTCCTAACCATTAAAGGCCCAGACAGAGCACCTCATACATTTATTGCTGCTGGCATCAAACATTATAACCAAGAGCACAAGTGGAAATGTTTGAGTCGTAGAGTCTTCTTCCAGCTTTCTTGAGCTGTAAGCTGTGTACTGCGATATGCTGCATTTCGTGGAAGACTGCTATCGCTGAACCTTATCTGGAGAACACGGTGCCATGTTCATCAATCTCGAGCTGTTCTAGACAAGGTATCTCCAAAACTCCCAAATCCGGTTTGATATGTTACTGCTGTGCAGGCTTGGGGTGCTTTTCCCCCAGAAATAACACGGGGCCGCCTGCCATGCATGAGTTTGCAGCACGTGTATGACGCACACTCCACATTCCAGCCATTGCTCACTCATAAGTGTAAGCAGCATATGTTCTCCTGACATTTCTGTACCTACTTCCTGGCAAGGATCAGGTTTGCATAGGCTATATATTAAGGGCAGGGGAGGAAGTGTGCAATTAGCTCTGACTTACAAGCAGTAATTTAGACCAGGCCACTGTGACCTCCACCGCTGGAAAAAAAGACGTTATAAAACAACCTCCCTCGATCACTCAGAGATGCATTATATGAAATTTTATGCAATCTAGGTAAGAGTGGATAGGACATGATGTACTTCAAGTTATATCCATACTGAGTCTTCCTGCAATTTATTACTAAAACAGTGGGAAGATCTGGAGGAAAGTCAGCTGTCTTTATGCAGCTAAAAGACAACGTGGAGCAAATACAGTTCTTGAACTTGTATGAAAGTTTGTCTCATACATAGAGCTTATTCTTAAAAA